CTGTCTCCGGGTAACCAATACAACACATTTGAAGTGACTCTGGCTTCCCAGGCCAGGTAACAAGAAGCCCAAGACCTCCACCTTGTTCTCTCAGAATACTCGTTCATGAGACATTTCCTCTTCTACTCTGGATGTCACACTGTGGGACACTCAGGCCACACAAGAGAGGTCATATGTAGGACTCTCGGGGCCATCTCAGACTTTCTGAATTCAAGGCTGTATTTTAAGGTGATTGTGATGTATGTGAATGGGGCGGGGGGGACTCCAGGTCCAGATGGTCACCTATCCCTGGCCTGCCTAATAACAAGACTGGAGGTATCAGCACAACCAAGTGAGTTGGACTACAGATACATCAAAGTTTCAGAAGCTCTTTTAGATCTATGGCTCTCCAATTTCCCCCCACCACAGCCCATTTCAGTAAGATAGAATACCTTTTAGCCCATGTGGCCTCACTTGGTCTGGTCTCACTTTCTAGGGGAGCCCAAATTTGGTAGGAAAAAGGGTCCCTGGGGTCAGTCCCACCTGCTACTTCTGCTCGTACAGTGTTGTTTCTTTCTAACTCGTTACAGTGCCCTGCTTTTTGTTAGGGGTGGGGACCTTTTTCTCCCCATTTCACATGGCCATGGTAGGACTATACATTGATGCCTTTCTCCCAGCTCTGGTGTGACAGTCAATCTTGACCGGCTTGACATCCACCAAGGCGGTTAGTAAAGCATACTTCTGGGTATATTTATCTGGTCATGAAGGTGTGACCTTGGAGACTACATCTGGTCCCTGGGCCCTTCCTCTCTGGTGCGCTTCCTCCATGCTTAGCTTCCTGGTTATCATGAAGTGAGTAGCTTTGCTACACCATGCCCTTGCACCATTATGTTTCTGCCTTGGAGTCAGTCAACAACCATGAACTGAACCTATGAGCCAAAATAAACCTCTTCTTTAATTTGTGGTGTCAGGTATTTTGTCCCAGCAGTGGGAAGTGACTAATAGACCTGAGAAGGCACAAGAATCAGCCTGATCCTCATGGCACCACTTTCTTCAGGCACAAGGATTGGGCTACTGACCTAATAGACCCAATTAGTTCTTTCTGAAACTGTTAGACCAAGTTGAGGAAAAGGTTCTTCACCAGGTGATTTACTTGGGACTCTTTCCTTAGAGTTTGTAATCAGCCATATCTGAAACTATCAATTGCTAGTGAGCCAAGAGATTCCCTTTAAATTTATTTATTTATTTTGGTACCAGGGATGGAACTCAGGTCCTTGTGCTTGCGAGGCAGGCAGTGGAACCACTGAGCTAAATCCCCGGCCCTCCCTTTAAATTTAAATCACTTGGAATCTGGTTTCTGACACTGGCAACAAGATTACTGACTAATACAAGTAAATCTGTGGTTTTTGTTGTGTTTTTTTTTGTACCGGGGATCGAACTTGGGACCTTGCACTTGCGAGGCAGGTGCCGGAACCACTGAGCTAAATCCCCGGCCCTAATACAAGTAAATCTGAAAACATACTGTGCACATCTGTTACACCAATCCAGGATTTATGAATTCATATTTGAACTTACATTTAGACATGATTTGTAGAACTGTCACTGAAAAATTAACAAGCCCTAAGCTCTGTTGGTGGAGTGTATGCCCCTGAAGTGTAGTGTTAATGTGCCACTTCATGAGTTCTGGACCAAAAGATGAGGCCATCCGATTAGGATTCTGGAGAAGTTTTTTGTTCTGCTTTTTTCTTCCACATGGAACCCAGGGCCTTTGTACTGACCCAGCCTTTCTCTTTTTCTTTCCCTCCCCCCTCCCCCTCTCCTCCCATCCCTCTCTCCCTCCCTCTTCTCCCCTCCCCTATCTCTCTCTTTCTGTCTTTTCTTCCCTTCATAATGGGGATTGAGCCCAGGACCTATGCACTGACCTACATCCCCAGCCCGTTTTTTAATATTTTATTTTGAAACAAGGGCTCACAGAATTGCTATGTTGCTCAGGCTTGGCTCAAACTTGTGATCCTCTTATTTCAGTCTTTCAGAGTCTGGGGAAGCTTTTGTTTTCCTCCTCAACTTCCTCTTCCCTGAAGGAAGAGGAACTTCCCTGTAAGTTTCTTCATGCCCTGTGGAAAAGAGGGTACCTCAGTCACCTTAAGAGGACGAGAGTCATGTTGAGGGTGGTGGGGCAGAAAGATGGAGACTGTTCCCTACTGGTCCTGGAAGCTGCTGGACCCGCTTAGGATTCCCTTCCTCTTGGCTTCATAACATACAAGGGAAAGTGACCCTATTTTACTAAGCAACTAGGGTTTTTTTCTTTTCTTTGTTACATATAGCCAAATGTGACCCTAATTTAGATAATGCTCTTTGCCCATCATATCCAAAGAAAGGTCTTGGATTTTTGGATCAGGCCTGTTTGTCACTGGACCACACTTAATAGTCAACACGTCATTTTTCAGGTGAGGGACCTGGGTCCCTGTATTCCATTCCTATGACTGCTATAATAAATACAGTACCATAAATTCAGTAGCTCCAAATGACAGACATTATTATTTTACAGTTCTGGAGGTCAGAAGTCTTAAAACCAAGGTGTCCACAGGGCTGTATCCCTTCTAGAAGCTCTGGAAATCAAGCCATTTCTCTGCCTTTTCCAGCTTCTAGAGAGCGCCTGCTTTTCTTGGCTCAAGGCCCCTTTTATTCAAGGAGGACTGAAGCATTTTCAAATCAATTTCTCTCCTCCTCCTCCTCCCCCCGCTTCTCCTCCCTCCCTCCCTCCCTCTCTCCCTCCCTCCCTCCCTGTATTGGCACATCTTCTCTAACTTGCCTGCCTCTCACTTTCCCTAGGGACTCTTGGGATTACTTTGGACCCACTTGGATCATCTTAAGACAATCACTCCAGAAGATCTTAGGCTTAACCATATCTTCAAAGTTCCCTTCTGCTGTGTAAGGTAACATATTTACAGACTTGGAGAATTAGGCTGTGGCTATCTCAAGGAGACAGTATTCTGTCTACCACAGTCCTAGAGATGGAAAATGACTTGCCCAAGGTCACACGCAGAGCTAGTTGAAAAGAAAGTACATGTAGGCTCACACGCTGGCAGAGGCACCCTTCCTCCTCAACTTTGGCATAAAGCTGAAGCCCAGCCATTCTTTCAAGATCCATTTCAGGCTGCCCATCTGCTCAGAAGCCACTGCTACCCTCCATGGCCCACAGAGACCATCTTCTTGGCTATATCTGTGTCATACTAGGATTTGATGCCTATTGGATCAGCAATCTTGAAGGTAAATGCCTTGTCCTCTGCCCATTCTTGACCTTTGAAGCCAAAGATCTCTTAGACCATTTTGCACCCCTAGAGCCCACTGCACAGAGTAAAGGCCCAATACGTTTCGTGATGTTCCTGGCAGATTATGTAGACTGACTCACTTACCTTATGTATTATGGAGTCTGGAAGGCTAAAAACTACATTTCCCAGATTTCCATTCAGGTTGGAATAGGTTCCAACAAGCCAGACATTGCAAATGTGAGGCACTGGTCATAGGAGAAAGGATGCTTCTAAGGGGATAGGATTGGATATGTATGGTTCTTTTGCTGCAGCTGGGTTATGGGCTGTACTATTATGTCTCTGGGATCTTTGCAGCCATGTGATGAAGTACTACTCCCAATGCAGCAGTGAAAACAGCCATTTCTTATAGATGCATGGCTCCTGACTGTGTAGTATTTGAGCTTGGTTCTCCAGCCCTCCTGGAAATCTATAAGTTCCTTTACACCCCGTGTAAACAAACCCATGTAGCTAGAGTAGATTCTATTGTCTGCAACTAAGAACCTTTATATACAGTATAATACTCTTCCCTGGCATTGTAAATCCCCTAAAGGGAGAAATGCTTTTTATTTTTCTCTTCTTAAGTTTATCAACAGAATATGCACAATTTATTAAACTGAGTTAAAGCTCTAATATTCCAATGAATTCATCCTTTCTATGAGAGACTGAAATAATAATAGCTCCTCTCCTTTAAAATCTCAAGGCGAAATCATAACAGAATTAAAATTTTCCTGTCTCAATTTAATTAATCACTCCAGAGGAGCTGTAAAGGAAATTTCTGATTTCTTTCTTTTTTTTTTTTTTTTTGGTACCAGGGATCAAACTCAGGACCTTGCACTTGTGAGGCAGGCAGCAGCAGCACTGAGCTAAAACCCTGGCCCTGAAATTTCTTTTTTATTGTGGAAAAAATGTAACATTAAATGTAATTTTATAATTCCTCTAAAAATCTCTGTGGCCTAATACACTGTAACATTCCCATTTTCTTCCAAGCTCTATTCTTATCCTCATTTTTGCAAGCCCGCTGTCTGCTATTTATTTGTCAGTACTGGGGATTAAACCCAGAGCCTTTGCATTGAGCTACGTCCCAGCTTTTTATTTATTTATTTATTTATTTATTTTTGCACAGGGGATCAAACTCGGGTCCTTGCGCTTTCGAGGCAGGCGGCGGAACCACTGAGCTAAATCCCGGGCCCTTATGTTTTTAAAATTTTGAAGCAGGGTCTTGTTAATTTGACCGGGTTGGGCTCAGACTTGGAATCCTCCTGCCTTAGTCTCTCAAAGTGCTGGGATTACTGTTGTGTGCCACCACGCAGAGCTTGTATTTTGCTTTGTTATACTTTCTTGAACAATTCCCTACTTGCACATTTTTCTTCCAGTTTATTTTACATTACACCTTACATTGCAATCATCATTTTTGTACTCATTTCCTTAGTGTCGCTTCCCAGGCGAGGGACTGTCCATCAATAACTCCGAGCATTCTGTTGTTCCCAGTGGTGTCGCACTCTGCTACTGAGGGATGAGAACACTAGCGAAGCGCTGATACAGCCTGTTCTCTTTAATTCTTGTTCCTTTTACAGATACCTCCTAGTCTCCATTTGCCTTTGCCCTGGTTTTTAACTCTTTCCGAGGGCCTTGTTATCCGCTTTTAAGACCTCCTGAGAAGGGTTTTGTTTCCCGTGAACACTTCTTCTGGGACAGAGCCTATCGCTTCGAGTGGTTCCGGGTTTGAGTACCACTCAGCCCCCCCACCCCGTACTACAGCTCCCAGGTTCCCCTGCGCGGCGGGCGCGACGGCGGGCTCCCGCACTGGTTGGGACACTCGGTACAGGGCGTACCGCGGGGCGTAATGGCTGTGTGGGGCGAGCGGCTGGCCGGCGTGCGCGGGGTGCTGCTCGACATCTCGGGCGTGCTGTTCGACAGCTGCGAGGGTGGCGGCGTGCCCATCCCCGGCTCGGTGGAGGCAGTGGCGAGGTGAGTGGGCAACGGGTGGGTGGACGCTCGACTCTGCGCTCAGCCCAGCGCCGCCGACCTTTGGCAGCCACCGCCGGGGGGCGGGGATTCTGCGCTGGTCCCGCCCACGCGCTTGTCTCGCGAGGACCCGGCTGTGGCAGAAGGGTTCCCTAGAGAGTGGTTGAGCTGCGCTGTCCCGCAGGGCAGCCGCTTTGACACCTATAGCTGCCGAGCGCTTGAACCACGTAGTCTGTATTGAGATGTGCTGTGTGTGTAACATACAGTACACACCAGTTTTACACATTCAGTGAGAAAGGTGCAAAATGGCTCATTAAAATTGTTGCTGCTTACATGTTGAATATTCCCCCCTCCCCCGCCCCTTACTGGAGACTGAGCTCAGAGCCTTTGCTCATCCCCATGCCTTTTTTATTTTTATGTTTCTTTTATAACAAGGTCTCACCAAATCGCTAAATTGCCCAGGCTAGAACTTTCAATCCTCTGGACTCGGCCTCCTAGAGTGCTGGGCTTACAGGCGTGAACCACCATGGTGCCCTGCTGAAATTATATATATTATGTTACGTTTGCAGTACATGGTGCTTACATTCCTTTGTGCAGTTGGTACATGTATATAACACATCATAATTCCTTTTTTATCCCATTTCCATCTGAAATACTTTTAAAATATTAGGTTAAATAAAATGTTCAATTCTACCTGTAGCTTTTAACTTTTTACTGGAAACTTTAAATCACATTGGTGGTGCATGATATAATTCTGTTGGGCTGCACTGGGAGGAGGAGGGCATCTGGCCCACCAAGCTTTGCCCATACAGAACACTTTCAGGACCGTGGTGGGCACCACCAGGCCTAAGCTTTATAATTTCCCTTAGTGTCCTGGCCAGCACAGCTGTGACATTGATTGGGCTTAGGGGCCTGGCTTCACTGGGGCTTACTGGCCTTTAGATGGCAGTTAAGTGAGCCTCTGGGTCCTTCTCGGAGATGCCCCACCCACTCATCTGTATGTGTGGGAGCTGCTGAAACTCCACGGACCCAAACTGTACTGCACAGGGAAGTGGGAGGGCGTTGGGAGGCTGGGAACTCCTAGCCTCCAGGAGTGCTGCCTCTCGGCATCAGTGGGAGTTTTTAGTCCCTCCAGGGTCCTCCACTAACCCCAGAGCTTCAGACTGACTCAGTCACAAGTGAGACATTGTGAGAGTAGCACCTGTTTGAATGGTGTAGAGGGCACTGGGCTCCCCCATATGGGGAAGGAGGAAGACAGAACCTCTGTGCCATAAATGAGGTGGTTGGGGCCTCATGGAGGCCATGTCTGGAGAGAAGACGGACAGTATTCTGCATATGAGTAGATCAAGTCACCACAGATTGGCCTAAGTGATGTGAAGACAAGGCACTGAGAGTGTACCAGGAGGGAGGGTGGCCTGGGCTAGAAAGGCAGATGGGGACAGCTCTGAGGAGAAGGCTTTGAATAAAGAGAAGAGGTGGAGGAAGCATCTCTGGGCAGAAGGAAAAGCAACTTCATAGCCTAAGGCAGGGAGCTTGCAGCACTCAAGGAGCTGAAGAGTCCTGTGCCAGGCTAGTGTAGTGGTAGTGGTGGTGGGGAGGGGTGGTTACAGCAGAAAGGGACTTGGGGCTAAGGAGCCTGTTGGCCATATCCTGAGTGGTAAGTAAGCAGTGAAGATTTTAGGCAGGCTTGTCACATGGTGTACTTATATTTGAAAGAAATGTAAATGTAAGAAGTGAAAACATAAGCGCAAGGAAAACAGGGATATTTCCTTTGTAAACTTGGAGGTTTGTTTTTTGTTTTTATTTTCTTCGAGACAAGGTATGGCTATTTAGTTCAGGCTGGCCTTGAATTCACTCAGTCCTCCTGCCTCAGCCTCCTGAGTACTTGGATTACAGGTGTGCACGCCACCATGCCAGACTTTGTAATCTTGGAAGAAGAGAAGGCCTTTGTATCTGTGCCTCAGAATCTAGAAATCAGCAACCAAAATTCAGCAGCTCAGTGGAAATATAGGCAGAGGACATATGCAGTTGACAAGAAAAGAAACATGAATGACCCCACAAGTGTATGGAAGATGCTCTCACCCTAACTCAAGTAAGAGAAGTACAAATTAAAACTGTACCAAGATGCCATTTTCCATCAATTTGAAGAAATTGACAAATCTAAGAGTTTAAATTCTCTTGGTGAGAGTTTGAGGAAACAGACCCTGCAATGGATGCATTGGCTTATGGAAGATACACTGGCACTGGCTAGCAGCAATTCCACTTCTGGGAATTTGTCCTGCTTCATATAGGAGAAATGACCTAAGCACGAAGTCATTCATGGCAGTGCCTTTTGAAATTGCAAAGAACTGTAGGGGAGCATTACTGTCCCTGTGTTTACCAGAAGTGCTCAACTGCTGCCTGTGGGTTGCACACCCCTGTGTTAGAATCAAAATATCTTTAAAAGGAAGTTTTGTTACTTGTATATTAATTACATATTTAGTATGCAGCCTAAGACAGTTTTTTGTTTTGTTTTATTTTGTTTTTTTGGTACTAGGGATCAAACTCGGGTCCTTGCGCTTGCGCAGCAGGTGGCAAAACCACTGAGCTAAATCTCTGGCCCCCTAAGACAGTTTTTCACTCAGAGCAGCCAAAGCAAGCCAGGCCTGTCCAGCATTTAAAGGTTGGTCAGGCCTGTGCAAGCAGAATACCACACAGCATAAGAACTGAGCACTCCTCCCTGTAGCTGTATTACTAGTAGATAGCAAAGGGCCAGGATTTAGTTCAGTGGCACCACGCCTGCCTTGCAAGCACAAGGTCCTGAATTCAATCCCTGGTACCAAGAAAAAGAAAAAAAGATAGCAAAAATGCACCAGGCACCATGTTTTGGATAGAAAAGGCAGAAACGCAAGCATGTATTCCTACTACCATGTTTGCAGGAAGACTCCGGAAGGACAAATGTTATTTTGAGGTCTTGAATGAACAGCTAGGGGACAAACCATCCTTCTACCTCAGCCTTCTTCAGCACTGGGATTATAGGTGTGCACCACCATGCCTATAACTTCCTGTTATTGTAATTTATACATATAAAAAGTGCTCATATTGTGTAACTGTCAATGAATTTTCACCAGCTGATGTCCCTTGTGTAGCTTATACTTTGCAAGCCTCCTTTCTCCAGAGTGGCTCTTGTCCTGACTTCTAGTACTACAGGTTAGTTTTTGCTTGTTATTTACTGTATATAATTGAAATTATATGTTATTTTCCCTTTTGTGTTTTGGTTCTTTCACTTCACATTATGTCTGAGAGATTTGCTCATGTTTGTGGCACGTGGTTGTAGATTATTCGTTATCATTACGGTGTAACATTACATTGAGTGATAACCACCACAGTTTATTCACTGTCCTGTTGATGGAGTGTAGTTTCTAGTTTGGGTTATTATGAGCAGTGCTGCTGCAAACATTATAGAGCATGTCCTTTGGTGAGTGCATGGATGCATTCCTGGAGGGTATGCCTCCTTGGAGCAGGCTGACCTGTGAGGGGACGTCTGGGTCATAAGTGAGGCGTGTGTTCAGCTTTAGTAGTTGCTCCCCCTCATCCCCCAAAGTGGAGCCAGTTCTCATTTCAAGCTGGCAAGAAATGAGAGCTCTAGTTTTTCATGGTTTATCAGTCATTTTCATTCCAATAGGGTCCTTTTACCTCTAAAAACCCTGAAGCAACTCGAGAGTGTGAGGCAGGAAGATCACAAGTTTTGAGGCCAGCCTGGGCAACTCAGTGAGACCCTGTCTCAAAATTGAAAAAGATTGGGGATATAGCTCCATGGTAGAGAACTTCCCTAGTGCGCCTGAGGCCCTGGGTTTAACCCCCAGTTCCACAAAACAGAATAAGAAACCTTGAAAAGTAAAGTCAGGTCAAGGTACAGCCAGTGCCTCAGTCCTTCCCTCTCTGCCCAGGAGCATAGAAGGTTTCAGTGGGGGCCTTGGGGAAGGAGGTGCCACCTGTGAGCCTTTGCTTTCCAGACAGTAATGTGGCTGTAGGGAACATGTGTCCCAGGCAGGTGAAGGCTCCAGGTTTCTCCCAGCAGCAGCAAGCTGGCCATGCTCAGAGAGCACTTTCTATCCACCAGGTGTTAGTGCTTTACTCCTCTTGTCTTGGGTAGCCCTCCTGCAATCCAAGAAGGGGTTCTGTTATCCCTCTTTACCACCAGGAGGACCTGGGGTGACAAGGGACCCTTTGAATCCTGTTCTGCCTGAGGGCAGAGAAGGGCCATTTAAGCAGAGCCAGGGCTTCTCTCTTACAGCTTTCTCTGAGCAGATGCTTCCAGCTTGGTGCAGGACTATCCAGCAAACACCTGCACAGACTGCATGTGCCACTGGCCATGGCGCTGAAAAGGGTTGTTTTGTTAACCTCTGTGGACTGTGCACCATTTTATCTACACTTACTTCAACTCCTGCAGACTTATCTAGCCAGGGTGTCTCATAACTGCTACGAATCTGCTGTGAATCACACAGCTGCAGAATAACAGTTTAAAAATACACCAAAGCTAGTTATATAACTGACAGAGGTGAAAAGTTCCCTTCCAAAAAGGCTTGAGAAATTATTTCTGGCCAAGGGGACATTGTACCAGTCACTCTGGGAAGTTTTATCATAATACTGTCAGGGAGGCCCAGAGAACCAAGTCCCTAAACTTCACCTGGTCCAACTGGGCCTTTCCAGGTAACCTTTGGGGCCCCTCCCACTGACTGCCAGTCACATAGACTAGATGGTGAGGTTGTCACTGAATGGTCCTGAGCAGCCGGCACCCACACAGCGGGATCCCCCCCCCCGCCCCCCGCCTGCAGTGCTGGGCAGGTGGGCAGGCTCTGGGCTGACTCACTTTCTCCCTTTGGTTCTTCTGTCAGCTTTTCAGGACAAGGCCCCCTCCCAGGCCCATCCACCACAGGGAAGCCCTGTAGGCCCTCCTCATCCTGTGAAAGGTGCCTGAAGCTTGGGAACAAGAGGCTCAAGGAATGGGACTTTCCTCTCCA